CAATAAGCATGTGTTTATGGGAAAAACAAATTGCATTAACTCTTATGTCTTTGGATACAATGAAGGTCACCTCTCCTCTCTGGCCCATAGTCCCAGTGTGGTGGAAGACCTGACACTTCCCTCTGACAGGCTTCCTTGGTGTCCTCGCATGGCTAAGCCTGCGTAGCTGATTTGCCATCGTCTTTCTGCCAGTGTCACTGCTTTGATTATTCTGAGGAATTCCCTGGACTTCCCTTCATAAAAGCACAAATGGTGGGGGTGGAGAAATCTGTGTGGGTGAAGGAAGAGGAACCAGAGACTCCTTAAGCTTTCACTCTGAGTGTTTCAGAACATTTCTTTGTATCTCAGACTCCCCTGACAATCTTGAGACCAAAGGTGAACACAGGATCACTTAAAATATTAACTATTTCTCAAGCACTTACCCTGGGCCAGGCACCCTCATAGAGTGTCCAAGCCCTTTGCACACTCATCAGATCCTCACGATGGCTCTGGGTCGTAGATCCTGTTAGTGTCCCGATTTGCAGATGAGGAGACTGAGGCTCAGGGCGGGTAAGGGCCTGGGGAGGGTCAGGCTGCTGGAGAAGCATATGGACAATGGACCCTGTTTGTATTGGGCCTAAACCCACTCTCAGCATGCTTTAGGCTTTAGGACTGAAGCTGGGGCTTAAATTCAGACAGTTGGGAGCTATTTAAAAATGAGATGACTTAAAACCAAGGATAGGAAAATGTTTATACACCTTTTAAACCAGCCGTGAAAATAGATGCTTGGCTATGTTACAGAGCTGTGGTTTGTAACCCCAGCCCTTCTCTAGAATTGCCTTTCTCAGCAGTAGAATGATGTCTGTCTTACATCTTTGAAGCACTTGAGAAAGGTCACAGGGACAGACATGGCTTGACCTTGGCTGTCGAGTGTTGCCACACAATCTTGGAGTCAGATTTAGCTGCATGGGGCCTTTTCCTTAGAAAAGTCCTGCCATGGGAGAAAAGGGTGAAACTATTTCTGGAAGCTCTCAGCCAGGGACAATGCATTCAAGATCTTTCTAGAACTACAGGTGATAGGGCGCCCAGACTGGCACCTTTTGCTTTGGAGTCTTTGACATGTGGCTTCGGCACCCTTGAGGTATGGTGGATGCTGGCACAGGAGGGATGGACGGTCTGGACGGTCTGGAGCAGCCCAGGGAGGCAGGACGTGGAGGACAGGGGACAGGACAGACCAAGGTCAGACCTGCCCCCAGGGTCCCTGGCATGGATTGTTCGCGCTCTCTGGACCTCTTGCCGCTTCTCTATGGTGAATGTCAGGGTCTCGAAGTCCCTTTACTTTAAGGTCCATTTCCATCCCCCCTTTTCTTTTGTTAAACAGGGTATAAGTTACACAGAGGAAAACATACAGATCTTAGGTATACAGGTTGAAAAATTTTTGAGTTTAAAATTTTGAATTTTTGTACACACCCGTGAAGTCACCTCCCGGTTCAAAACATGGAATGTTTCCAGGCCCCGAAAGGCTCCGCCTCCCCTCTCAGATCCGCTTAAATGTTTTGTGACTAACGATTCTCCTGGACTGGGCCCATTATCCTTTGAGATGCTTTCTTGTTCTGTCTAGTCCTGCGCTCTCACCGTTCACACGTGGCTGCTGAGCACTTGAGGTTTGCCTCATTGAAAATGAGATTTTGTATATTGACTGCATAGTAAAATGGCAATATTTTGGATATACAGAGTTAGATAAAATACTATTAAAATTAATGTCGCCTAGTTCTCTTTTTTAAATTTATTTTTTATGTTTTTCAACGTGGGTATTAGAAAATCAAAAATTCCGTATATGTTGGCATTGCTCGGTGCCCTGCAAGTCCCCATCCTGGTAAGGACTTGCCTCTGGACTCCTGCAGCCTGCAGTGTCGCCTGCCTCTGCGCCAGTAGATGTTTGGCGGCGTGGAGGGTGCGGGGGAGGGTGGCTGAGAGGTGGAGGTGTGGGGAAGGTGGAGAGGTGGCTGTGTTTTTCATATAGGCGTGTTCTTGAGGCTTTTAGCCTGGGGCAAGTCCTGGCAGCTCCTTCTGGGCTGGGGCGTTGCTCCCAGCCCGGGTCTGGCTGCCCGTGGCGCTGGTTTTTGCTTTTCCTGCCTCTTTTTGAAAATGCATGATGAAGCCCACTTTCCCATGCCCGCGTCTGCCTTGCCAAGTCAAAAGCCCACTCTGGGAGAGCTGCTGGAAGGAATGGGGGTGGGGAAGTGCGGGTTGGGTTTTAGGTTGACTCAGTCAGGCTTTCTGGGGACTTTTGTAGAGTGACACCCTGAGGGGGAGCGTCAGCTCACCTTTGAAGCCTGGCGGTGCCCCAGCATCCTGTGTTGGGGAGACCTGTGAGGCCTCCCAGAGCTGCCTCGTGGCCCCTACCTCCTGCCTGCCCCTGGGGGCCACTGAGGGTGCGTAAGGTTGCTTTCCTATATACCTTTGTTTGACAGAAACATTTTTTGGCTGACCGTTTAGTTTTTTAATCATGTCTCTGGCATGTAGCATAGGGTTTAGGGTTGCTTTTTTTGTAGTTTCAGACATAGCTTTTTTTTTTAAAGGAAATTTTGTTCATTTACATTTATTGCTATGTTTTTACTAGATTCTGTTCTTACTAGATTGCTCGCTCCTCATTTTGGCTATAATTTGACTTCCCATATATGTGTGGTTTTATGTTGAACTGTGCTCAGCTTCATGTACAGTTTCACTGCACATTTCTTAGACCTTCTCAGACTTTTTCTTAATCTGAATCTTCTAATGGCTAACGCACAGACACGAGCGTTCTCATTTCTTTAGACTGCCTTCCATGGCTGTCATGAAGCAGAGGGACTTTGAACTTCCTTCCGTTGGCCTCTTGAGCTGTCAGCTTCCTCCTCCCGGGTCTGCCCTCCACCCTCCCCTGTGCCCCTGGGTCTCAGGTTGAGAAGCGTGTTGATTCTTGGTTCTCTTTTTTGGCTCATACATCCACATGTTCAGTCATTGTCCGGATGACAGAACAGACACTCAGCAGCACAGTATGGAGGAATGAGAGCGTCAACGGATGTTTAGTCATTCTGGGCTAATTACACAATCTCTCCAAGCCCAACCCATAGGTCTTATCTTAAAAAAAAAAAAAAAAAAAAGTTCATATACCCAGGGAGGATTAAGTGAGAAAATGTGTGAGGCTGTACCTGGCGTATATTAGTTGCCTGATAAATATTAACCTCCCCACTCCCGGTAGCATTCCTAGTGGCATCACATGGCAAACAGTTTATCTTTATACTGTACAACTTGACCTTGAGTGTTCTGGTTTAGTCATTCTTGGAAACGAGGGTCTTTTTTTTCTGGTATTGTTTTTTAAAAATTGAGGTGAAATTCACATAACAAAATTAACCATTTAAAAATATATAATGCAGTAGCTTTTAGGACATTCACAATTTTGGGCAACCACCACCTCTATCTAGTTCTGAAACATTCCCGTCACCCCAAAAGAACCACAGATCCATCAACAGTCACCCTCCCACTCCCCTTCCCCCAGCCTCTGGGAACCACTCATCTGTTCTCTGTCTCTACAGATTTTCCTTTCCTGGACATTTCATGTTGATGGAATCATACAATATGTGGTTTTTCATGTCTGCCTTCTTTTACTCAGCATAAAGATTTTGAGATTCATGTTGTAGCACGTTCCTTTTTATGGCTGAATAGTATTCCATTGTATGGACATACCACTTCATTTGTCCATTCATCTCTTGGTGGGCATTTGCGTTGTTTTTACCATTTTGCTATTATGAATAATGCCCCTGTGAGCATTTGTGTACAAGTATTTGTAGGAACATATGCTTTCATTTCTCTTGATTAGATCTCTGGGATTGCTGGGTCATATTAAAGGGGTTTAAGAATTAAGTCTGCCAATGTGGGGCAGTGTCTGGTACAAATAAGTGCTTAACAAATGGTGACAATTGTGGACTTCTTTTTTTAATGTAAATGATTTTCTGATCTTCAGTCTTGTTATTTGTATTTTGGTAAATTTCTCTGTATTTTTGTTTGTCACCATCCTAAAATTTTCCTTGTTTATTGAAGTCGTATGTACCACCTATTAAAATAACTATTGATTCTTCATGGCTTGGAGTTACCTGATAAGCCGGATCACCTGCTTTACTCATTCATGCCACACGCATTTAGTGAGCACCCTGTGTGGCACGCCTGTGGGGTTTTATGGTTGAAACCTGTGCACCCTAAAGGGGACAGTGACTGTAACTGTTTAGCTCATTGCTTTAGCCCCATCCCATGGCACAGTGTCTACTGAATAAATGCAAACAGACGCCCTGCCCTCAAGTAAATGAATGTGGTTGCAGAGCCCATACATGTGTGCACCTGGTGCCCAGCTGAGCACTCAGACCTGGGACTACAAGTCCTATAGCATTACGACCAGGGGTGCCTGAAGCTGGCTCGTCCCAGCTTGTGAGGGGCAGTCATGCATCTCTTCCCACCTCCATGCACACGGACATCATCTTGGTGGCTTGAAATCAAGCATTGTGGGGATATTTAAGCCACAGAAATGGGCAACAGCTACAAATCAGGGCTTCTTCCTGTTTTCTCTTTCGTTTTCTTGGAGGGCCTGGTGTTAAACATTTGCCAGCACGCCCGCCTGCCTGCTCCACCCTCCCGGTCCCCCTCCTGACAGGATGGTTTTCACAGAGGAGGACGCCCAGGCCCTGAGCGTTGAAGGATTTTTTGCCCACCGTTACACAGCCAGGAAATGACAGATCCCGGACTTCAACCCAGATCTGAAGTTGGCCCATCTCCATGGCCTTGGGACTAGCCAGGATCTGAACTTTCCCATTTTCTGATCTCTGGGCTGTGAGTCCTGGCTTTTCCTGCTAAACCTCTCTGCCACCACATTTTCATTTGGATCACTTCTTAGGATTTTAGGTGCCAAGATTTCACGGCATGTTGTCTGAGCAACCGTTAGATCCTGTCCCTTCTTAACAGGAGCTCTGTGTTTTATTTTGTTTTTGCAGAATTTTGCTAAAGAGTTTGTGATCAGTGATCGGAAGGAGCTGGAGGAGGATTTCATCAAGAGGGAGCTTAAGAAGGCTGGGGGAGCCGATTACGACGCTCAGGCCGAGTAGCCCTGCCCTCCCCTGCCCCTTACCAGAGTCACCTGCCGGCTCCCTGGGGGCGGCGCCCGCGGCCTCAGCCTCCAGCCCTCCAGCCCGCCAGGGAGAGGACCCGCGACGAGAGGCGACGCCCGCCACCCTGAGTGCAGCCCACCCCGCCCCGCTTCCCCTTCGCCCCGCTAGGTCCTACCTTGCAGAGCTCATGGAGCATCTCCTTCTGTCTTCTTTTTCCTTTTCCTCCCTCTTTCTTGTTCTGAAGAAAAATCATTTTGATGCCAAGGTCATGCACATCTTCAGATCTGAGGTGCCTCATGCGGTGACGCCTGTTCCTGGCACTCCTCTTACCAGGGCACAGCTGCCTGGCCCTATCCACCATGATCTCCTATTGCTCAGGGGCCAGGCCGCCACTGGGGAACCCCACAAGCGCTCACAGCTGCCCTCAGGCCCAGACCCCCCACAGACCCCTCACCGCCCATCCAGAGCTGCCGACGCTGCATGTCCAACAGAGACTGTGCTCGGTGGAGTTTAGGCCTGACTCAGACTGGATGAGAAGGGAGAAAATTTGCCTTAAAAGATGCCTGGCAGTAGCTTTGCCTTGCAATCTGAGATGGCCGGTTCCCACCCTTTGGGGAGAAATCTCATGGCATGGAGTTGGGGTGAGAGTATGAGGCCAGGCTGACCGGGAAGAGTCTTGCAGGGTAACTTCAGGGGCTCCCAGAGCCACACGGGCGCCGGGGAGAGAGGCTCGGTGCGGAGCCCCTGCCCCTGGGGGGGCCCTCTGCTGACAGCAGGGACAGCCCAGGCCCTCGGCTCTGCCGCCTTGGCTGCTGCAGAGTAGAGTCTCCTTCACAGACCCAAGTCTGCTTTTCATCTTAGGTCTGTACCACACATTCAAAAGGATTTTTTTTTTTTCAAAGAGAGATGAGATAGGCTTGGTTCTTCATGAGCACATTTATATTCTTCTTTTTATTCTTGCCCATTTCATCTGGGGGAGGACATCTGTGCTGTTCTGGGTTGTGAGGGACCTCTGCACTCAACAGTTTACAGAAATAAATGGTTTTTGTTTTTCAGAAAACAAGTTTGTCTCATTTGCCTTAAAGCTTCTTGCTTTACTGTAAAAACAAAGGCGATTGTCATATTCAGATTTAATAAATATTTACGGAGCTGCTGAGGGCTAGGCCCATTCCTATGTGGTAGCTTGTTTAATTTTTAACACCAATCATAAGAAATAGGTGCTGTTTGCATCTCCATTTTGTGGAAGCAGAGGCTCAGAGACACTAAGTGATTGCCCCGAGGCCACCCAGCTAGGAAGTGTCAGAGCCAGGATTTGATACCTGGTCTCTGCACACCCCTGGTGCTTGTGAGGGTGCCGGGCAGGCCCAGGACTTGAGAGAGGGATGTGACAGTGGGAGTGGGAAGTTTTTAGAGTGACCAGAACCCTCCACTCTTGTCTTTTCAGGAAAAGCCGAGAGAAGGCTGGGCTGTGACTTCCTTTCTGAGGTTGGCCTAGAGCTTAAAAACTGGACTCCCACCAGTAGCCCTGGTGGGGACTCAGAACCAGGCTGGAGGAGGTTCACACAGAGGAGCTAAGTGTGGGGTGGGGAGCGTACAGGGAGAGGACGGACCAAAATCAGAGCCAGAAGGAATCCTGCCAGGCGTGGGCAAGGCCACGGTCCTGTGGCCCCATGATGGCTCAGCACCCACCCCTGCCAGAACCGGGTTTTCATATCTGCTCCTCTGCTCACAGCTGTGTGACTTCAGGCAATTTCAGTAGCCTCTCTGGACCTCAATTTCCTCATCTGCAAAATCAGCAATAGTATTACTGACTGCAGTAGGTGGGGAGGCCTAAGGGGCAGCGAGGGCATCAGTTGGGGCTCAGTTCTCATTATCGCTTGCTGGCTACTAGGTCTCTTAGCCCAGCTTGCTCCAGTTTTCTCCTATACTCAGAACACAGGCAGCCAAATGAGGCCTCTGGCTTTGCAGCCTACAGGCTTTTAGCTGTGGTCAGAGAACTTGGGACAGTTATAGATGAGGATAAGCCCCCTCCAGGAGCAAAGCCAGGTCCGTGAGGAAAAATCACAGAGGCACTGGGCCTGGTCAGAGGCATCCAAGGAGGGCTTCTCTGAGGAGGTGACACCTGGAACTGAAGGCAGGAGGAGTGGAGCAGGCAAAGCTCGTGGGGGGACCAGGGGCCCTGGGGATGTTTGCTGAGGGCTGGAACAAAGAGGGTGGAGCTGGGTTTGTGGGTCCGGGAGCTTGGTTTTGAAGGACAGCTGCAGCTCAGGCCTTTGCTGGGATTTCAGAAGGTGTGTGCTGGGATGGTGAGGACCCAAGGGCAGAGGGAGGCCTTTGCTGTGTCTTCAGCCCCTGTAATTGGCAACCAGTGGGTGTCGACTGCTGCCACCTGGAGCTGCCTCCACTTCTGCTCTCCCTGCCGGAGGCCTGGGCCTCCCAGCGCCTGGCCCCCATCAGGGCTTGGGGATGGAGCTCGGGGCGCTCCAGTCTCCTGGCTTAGACAAGCTCTGGACCACTTCACTCGCTGACTCAGTGAAACACTGACTGGTGTAAAACAGCGACCATTTCATTTTGCCCTTGACTGTGTGGGGCAGGAATTCAGGCAGGGCTCCGCTGGGCACTTCTCCCTAGCAGGAGCTCTCTTCTGGTTGTAGTCAGATCCCCGGGCCTGGAGGTCCAAGCCAACTCTCATGCGTGGTGGGCAGCTGATGCTGGTGGCTGTCTGGCAGCCCAGCTGGGCTGTGAATCGGGCCACCCAGTGTGGCCTGTCCCTCACAGGGCTGTCAGGGATGTGCACTTCTTAGAAGTGCTTCCCCCAGCGCTGGTGTCCCAGAGGGCCTGGGGAGCCTGCATGGCCTTTGCTGACCAAGCTCGGAAGTCACTCAGCAGCATTCCCACTGCCTCTCCTCTGACCACTCATGGGGGAAGTGGTCGTGAGCCTCCAAATTCAAGGGGAGGGGACACTGACCCCACCTCTCAATGGGAGGAGTGCTGAGACATGTGTGCCCTTGAGGCACTGTGCTAGGCCTGGGTGCCCTCCTGCCCAGGGGACTTGCACGGGGTGGGAGTGGGGGGCAGATCTATAGTAAAACAAGCCAATAATTGCAGTGGGTATTTCTGTGCCCGCCCAGAAGGCTGCTGTTCCCGGCTGATGGATCCCTGGGGGAGCTTCTGTTTCACAACGTTGCCCAGCCCTCCTAATGGGCACCCACTCTCAAGAACTCCCCTCGTGGGGAGGCTCCTGCTGTCCCCAGCCCTGATGGGTGTCAAGATAGTCTCCCTGCTACTTCCTGTTCCCCATTTCTTAGCCCCATAAGGGATGTAAAAACGAGACCCAGCAAATGGCAGACACCTTTTTGGTGACTCACCAAAGGCAGGAGCACATCTGTCCTAAGGGCGAGGCAGGTTCGAGGTGCCAAAGATGGTCTGGGCCAGTTACTGCACAGTTAGAGCCTCAGTTTCCTCTTCTGTAAACAGGGGCCATGACAACAGTGCTTACTTAGCTCAGTTGGTCAGGCTGCTGACACAAAATGCCATGAGCTGGATGGCTTGGAAGGAGTAGAAGTTTATTTCTCATACTCTTGGACGTTGCAAGTCCGAGATCAGGGTTCCAGCAAGGTCAGGCAAGCACCCTTCCCCGGTGGCAGACTTTGCAAGGGGCCAAACGCCACAGCAGCAATGGAGCATCTAGATTCTTCTACCCTGCTATTGGCCCACTGCTCGTGGGCCCACCACTATAGCTCTGGGTTGACACCTGGATAGGGCTTGAGAGCATCTCTCAGACCCTCTGATGGGGAGAGGGTCTGGCCCTAGGAGCCAGTGCAGGGTGAGGTGCACGGGTTCATATCTCAGCTCTGCCACGTAGAGATTGTGTGGCCCCAGATAGGATCTTTACCTCCCTGAGGAGTAGCCAGGGAGAGCCATGGGACCAGGCCAATTCAGTGGGGTGGGGATACACCACCAAATATTTGTGAACAGAACTGTGGTCTACCATGCAACCCAGCAAGTGGCTGAGCCAGGCTTTGAACCCAGGCAGTCCCACGCATCTTCTCATTAGCCCATGCTCTGCGGTCTGCCATAGGAATGAATGAATAAGCCCACAGGAATGAGTGAATGAAGGAGTGAGTTCTGACATTCTGCCCGATAGAAAATGACCAGTTATCCCACCTGCGTCCCCAGCTGCCCAGTAGCTGGGACAGGTGGTCCTTCCGGGCTGTAGACAGGGTGAAGTAGGAATTCCAGCAGTTGGGCTTCCATCCAAAGAAAGAGGGGTAAAGGCCGGGTAGCCAGCCCCACCATGGCTGCGGTCCCGTGACAGCCACTTTCCTCTGGCTCAAGACGAGCAAGGGGAACTGAAGGCGTCTCGGGGGCCCCACTCAGTGTGCTAGCAGAGGGGATTTGGACATGTGGGACTACCCTCGAGCTCAGACCCAGAAGTGTCACCCACGGGGGCAACTGCCTGAGCTCTGATCTCACCATCCTGGTCAGAATGTGTTGAGTCACAGCCTTAGAAGCCTCACCCTAGAGAAAGAGGAATTTGGCAGAAAAACACTCATAAATCTGGCCAAAGAGCAGGTACATTAGCACATTCCACAGGAACGCCCGGGATACCGTCGCGAAGTCAAGAGACAAGACTTGGCAGTGTCCAGAGCCTCAGGCATCCCCTGAGAACGTTCCGGAGCAGGGAACAGCTGTGTGGGGGTGAGAGACGCCCACCTCCCCACTCCTTGTGAGTGGATACGGGTCCTAACCAAGGGGGCGGTTCCAGCCACGGGGGACAAAGTTTGAGGCAAAACGGAAGGTACCTGGGCTGCAGGACGTGACAGTCAGAGACTGTTCCCACCCGCTCTCACGACCCAGGCCAGCCTCGCCGGTGTGTGTGAACTTGACCATCATGCTTTTAGCTCTTGCGTCCTCCCAGCCGAGGGGCCTGACAGTCTGGGGGCCTGCAAGACTCCGTTTTTGTTTGAATGTAGATTCTTAAGTCATAGAGCTAAGAGAACAACATTTTTACAGCTTCTTTTCAACATTACGCTTTAACTTCGCACCTTTTTCTTGCCCATCGGAAAAGTTTATCATAAACTTTTGCTCCCCAAACTGCAGTTCCAAACCAGCCCTTTGTTAGATTCCATCCCAGGATCATGTCACTGCCCTGCTATTGAGTTCAAGCCTCCCACTGGGCATCAGGGGACACACTGGGTCTCCGGCTGGGCCTCCGTCCCCTTCCCTCCTTGGAGCCCTGACCTGGGGGCGTCCTTCCTGTACTTTCCTGAAGGCTCCACTCTCTCCCCCTTCGAGAGACTGTCTGCTCCGACCCGCTTCTTATAGAAGGTCCCCCACACCCTGTGTAGTGGGCTGAATGGTGGTCCCCAAAAGATGATTCACGCCTTGGAACCTGTACATGTGACTGTAGTTGGAGATGGGGTCTTTGTAAACGTGGTTATGTTAAGGATGTCAAGATGGGCTCGTCTTGGACTTGGGTGGCCCCAAGCCCCATGGCGGGCCCTTCATGAGAGAGAGCAGAGGGGGACTGGGACGGGGCCCCTGGAGAGGAGGCTTGATGAGGACAAGGGAGGGAGGCGGCCACAAGCCCAGGACGCCTGGAGCCATGGAAGCAGGAAGAGGCAGGAAGGCCTGCCCAGAGCCTCCCGCGTATGCAGGCATGTGGCCCTGCAGGCACCTGGATATCAGACTTCTGGCCTCCAGACCTGCCAGAAACACATTTCTGTTGTTTTAAAGCCCCCACTTTGTGGTCATTTTTTATAGAAGCCCTGGGAGACCTGCCTTCCTCCCCCACTAATGCTAAGTCGCTGCAGGGCAGGGCGGGGGTCCCCAACCTCACCTGTTGGAGGTGCTCAGTAAACAGTGAGAGGGGCTTCATGGAGGGCGTGGGGCCCTGCCCTGCTCTCCAAGCCATATCTGGAAGGCTGACCTGCTCAGACTGGCTCAGACCTGTTCCATGCTGAGCTAGGCAGAGGCCTCCTCCACCTGGGAGCTGGCTCTGCCCCCAGTGTGGGCCTGGTGGGTAGGCCCCCCTCTGGTGAGCCTGTCCTGCTCTTCTGC